TCAGCATTCTCGATTAAGCTTCACACTTCTACAACCTACTCTCCTTTTTCTCTATTTGACTGGGAATTCCTTGAAGACAAGGCCTATGTATTATTCATCTTTGTAAACCCAAGTGCCTAGCACAGATAAGCATCTGATAGTTATTGAATAAAAAATAAATGTTATCTTTAACTAAATAACGATAACAAACAACTTTAGCTTTTTAGTTCCAGGTCCTCTTTAACTGTAAGTAGACCCAAATCATAATATACTCAGGTTCACATTAAAAGATAAAAAGGGCTGCTTACCACATGTTCTAGTTCTTCAGAACTCTTACAGTTCAGCAAAGCTTTTAACAAGCATTCAGACATCTTCCCCTCCTTCTTAATTTTCTGAATTGTACTACGAATCTTCTTTGCAACAGCCCTGAAAATAAAAACTTTTGTAATATACAATACCTATATATCAAAACTTTCTCTTAGAAGCTATCTCAAACTTACAGAAAAGTTGCAGGTAAAGAAAACTTTTTTCCCCTCTGAACCATTTGAAAATAAGTTGCCATCACCTCCAAGTGTTTTAACGTGCATTTTCTAGAAGAAAGAATCTTCTCCTACATAATACAACCATCAAAATCAAGTAATTAATATTGACATGTTACTATCATCTAATTTTCAGACCTCAGCATATATGTTTCACCAATTATTCCAATAATGTCTTTCATAGTGATCTCAGTTTAAGAATCATGGGTTGTATGTTAATTGCTAGTGGGTATCACTGCTCAGGAAGAGTACACATAGCACCCATAATGGTTTCACTAGAAAAAAACAGGATTTCATAGAGAAAAAGCTGATTCTGGGTACCAATGTACAGGGATTAATGCACAGGTAGGGGCAAGGGCAGGGGCAGAGCACAGTTATTCTACCACTTTATGATGTTTTTCACTGTGAATATGCAATCCTACTGTTTAATGCCTCTCCTATTTCATTACCTGTTCCTATTTATAGGATCTGCTTAATAATAGTATTGTTTAAATTATGGGCAAAAGATAGAGATGTAATATGAATTATTAAAAATAATTAATGAAAACAAAATCTACTTATCAAAAAAAAACTAAAGGCAGAAGATTGTAAATTATAGAGGAAGAATATGCAGTCCTTAGATTACAACCTGTGTCTTTTATAGTCCCAGTAACCTAAGACTGTTATTAGGGACTGAAGCCTACCAGGGTCATTTGACAAAAGGTCAATGTCTTATTGGCTTGCATATAAGAAGAGAGGCGTCTTTAGAGAACACAGAGGAAATTTTTCTTGCTATCCATTATCATATTCTTTAATTCACTTTAACAGTGACCAGCAGTAAGAAATATATTTTACCTTGCAACCCAGTATATATACGCATATGCACACATATATATATATAATTGAAAGTTTCATGAAACAATATTTACCTTTAGCATACAAACTGTACTCATATATTTTCTATTCTCTATTTCATATTTTTTAAGTATTAATAAGCTACTAAATTGGTTTTATTACTCATTTATGGGTAGTAATTAACAGATTGAAAGCCAATGCTCTAGATTTAAAAATGACAAGGTTAAGAAAAGAGATCTCATTATCAAAAAGAAATCTCTATATGACATAAAAAGATCTTCTAAGCTGCAATAAATGCCTCCATTTCCTTCAAGAAACATTCCTCAACTCATATAAGAATGGAGCTTTCTTTCAGTAGAAGTGTTTTTTATTTAAAAAAAAAAGGAAAATAACAATAAAATAATAATAATAATTGTGACATAAAGCTTCTATATGTCCCCACACATAAATATTATTGGGATACCTTAAACTTTTTAAAATTAACTATTCTTGCCTGTTTGTAACACTTCCTCAATTTCGGATCTCAAAACCCTGAGATTTTCTTCATTACCTAATCCTCAAACAAACAAAATTTACTTCAGAAAATGCAAACTGGTGGCCTTCCAGATGCGGCCTGTAGATGGTTTTGTTTGGCTCAGAAGTTTCAAAATCTTGATTACCAATTTCTTTTCGAAAACAGGAAGGTCCCACAAACTGAGTGGACAATACTGCACGTCAGTAATCTGCTGGAGATAAGCAGAGGCTGCCCCCTTATACAGGGCTTGTGATCTCCAGTTCTTACCTCTTGCTGCTTGATTATACTAGCTTGGTCCTAGAAGATCTGAATCTGAGACCACTTGATTAGCTAGTCATTTATACTTCTGGGTTGGCTAACTGATTTTGCTTCTCAATGAAATATAACTCTTCACATATTAACGTTTCAATTCTCTTGGCATTAAAAGAACTTCAACAAAAGGGGTGGAAAAGTTAGTGAGGTGCAAGTTCCCCCAAATCACAGGAAGCCTATTAGGCTGTTGTAAAAATAACTGGTAAAACTTCTAGAATGGCTTGATAGTAGTATTATATCCAATTTTAAACAGATCCTTTTTGTAGACTTGAAGAACACAAGTTAACATGGCACCTGGCATGTACGAGACAAGCAATAAATGCATGAATGGTGAACAGTGTTTTTATAAACTTTGCTAATTTAGTTTTATAGTCTTTATAGTTTCTATATGTGTATTTCTAAGTTATTACAATAAGTCCGGAGGCATAATTTTTTTAAAGGGTACTTTCCAATCTACGATCATACAAAATCTATAATCCACTAATGTAAAAGTACCATCCCCTTTAAAAAAAAAAAAGAAATATACATATTTCTTGCTAAACTCTGTACTGTTAAAGAACTCTCCATTAAGGGACTTTATAGTATTAAGAAGGCAGTTTTATGCAAACTGTTGAAGATTTAGACTAAAATGTATTTTTCTGAGTTTCCAGCTGGCAGTCCTAATTTTGCCATCATACACAGTCCTCTATGAGAGAAGATGACCGTCAAACTCTCGGGCACAGACTTTCACTGTGAACCACCTTTTCACTGATACATGCCCAAGCTATGCATAAACATACCAGCAGAGGGACTCTGTACACCCTTAAATAAGTCAAATAGAGCTGACTTCCTCTGGCAGAATAGGACCAAATCTAGATAACAATAACTCAAAAAAAAACCAAACACTGAAACTGTGGAAATATATTGTCATTCATTTCTTCACTGTTTTTCCTCATTGGCTCACATACCCTTTCTCCTTATACTAGGCTCATCCCTTTCCAGATTTCTTACCGGAGCTCCTCTAGGGCTTGTTGAACTTCTCTCAAGGAATCTGCATCAAGGTTATTAATGAGCTCTTTTCGATAACGTATGATGAATGGAATTGTGTTATCATCATCAAAGAGACGAATGATGTTGGCACAAACCCAAGGTTCAATATTAGTTCTTTCAGATAAAACCTGAAATTAAGAACACTTAGTGACTTAAAATCCTGAAAATTAAATACCTATAACATAGAGTTTATTATACAGCACCTCATTAAGTTCTCCAGGCACTTAGAAACTACTTGCTGTGGTTTAAAAAAAAAGAAGAAAACTACAGAAGATACATATACAGATTGACAATCATAAAATAGCCATTTCACTAATTTAATAAAATCCAACCAAAACCACTCTGTGTCATTCATATTTTATAGGACTCATTGAGATATGCACTTTTTACACCCAGATTGGCCGCAAATATCAAAGAGTTGGTAACTCACTATGTTGGCATGAGTGATGCTGAAAAAGACACTTTCAATCATTGCTAGTGAGAAAGTACAATGGAACAACCTCTGGAGGAAGAGGATTTTGACATCTATCAATATTTACAATATATAAAGTCTTTGATCCAGCAATTCCATTCCTGGGAATTTATCCTGATATGTTTATTCCTCAGGAAAAGAATATTATTATAGCAATTTTGGGAAGAACTGTTTCCAGCATAGTAAAAGTCTACAAAACCTAAGTCTATAATGGGGAACTGGTAAATAAATTAGGATATGCCCAGAGAGTAGAATACAATGCTACTACTCTTACATGAACTGATATGAAATGATTCACAAGAACTGGGAACATGGCTTACTTTTGGGTAAGGTACTTGGTTGGCTAAGAGTTAGGATAGAAAGATCCTTCTGTATCTTTCAAATTTTCTATCAAACACATGTAGTACTACATATTCAAAATAGTTAATTCTTTAATAAAACAAGTCTATAGGTTTCAGCAAAATGTACACGTAAACGGAAAAGTTTAAAGAAGTCAGGGTGGAGAATAGAGATATACAATTTCAGTAACTGTTCGCAAAGCCTAAGTAGATTTTTCAAAGTAAAACACAAAATGTTAAGTTTTATTATTGTTACTTCAATATTGATATGCAAAATCTGCCAAAAATGGAAGGAAATAAATAGAAAAATGACTAAAGAATTATCATAATCAACTGGTTAACAAAATTGTCAATATATAAAATAGACTGAATTTCAAAACTACAGATGAAATAAATGGCTGAACTCCAGAGACCATTGAGGATACTCTCATTCCTCTGGGCATCTTAAATCCTGAGGCCCTCATCTTATCACCCATTCCTATGGGTTAATATCAACTCTCTGGCAAAGATGTCAACCTCGCATCTCCAGCCCGGGCTCTCTTCTGCAGGAGTCCAGACTCATTTAGCCAATTACTTGACATATTCTCCTGAAAACTTAATGGGCACCTCAAATCTTGCATTTGCAAAATGATCTTCCTCTCAAACTTATTCCACCTCCAGTTAACCCTTATTATGTCCATTGAAAGAGCAGTTGAAACCAGAACTCTAAGAGTCTTTAACTCTTTCATCTCCTTCATCTATTAAATCCACTCCATCATAAGAACGTCAACTCTTATTGCAAAATATTTCTTTAGTCTATTACTGCTCTTCATTTCTTCTTCCCCAACTCCAAGTCTAGTTCAAGCTTGGATTACTACGATAACCTTTAACTATTCTTCTTGCATCCACTCCAATCTCATCTGTTGTAATCCCTCCATAAAGTAACGAGAGTGAAGTTCCACAATGTGGACTGGATCATGTCACTTGACTAGTCAAAACCTTTCAATGATTTCCCATTGCATTTAGAATCCAAACTCCTTACCATGACCCCCCAAAATCGACCTCCCTCTCCAACCTCATCTTATCCAGTCTTACCTTCCTTAAAAGCCAGCCCCACTGGCCTGATCTCAGTTCCTAGAACAAGCCCAGTTGTTTTCCTCCTGAGGCCTTATGAGGCTGCTCCCTCATTCGGAAATGCTCCTCTTTCTTGATATCTTCCCTGACTCCTATAAAATCAAACTCAGCATTTTCTCCCTCAAACCTGTACCTCTTTCTAGTTCCTATTCCAGTCAACATCATCATCTTCTACCACAGAAACTTTCAGGGATATTGTACTTATCTCCTCCAACAATACCTCCCCATATGAAGGAGCTATGTGGCTTGAGAGCACTTGACCTCAACCACTTCCATAGCATTTTGCTCAAGTAACCAGTTGTTTTAGATTTAACAACTGTCAGTGTGGCCAGAGAAATTAGTCTAGTCATCAAGAAGCTCAAGATCTAGGCTGGAACTCTGGACCAAGGTACGATTTCTTCCCCTGGAGAAATACGGGTTGTACGCAGAATCTTGAAGCTGAGGATAGTAGTGCTAAAATAATCATAGAGAGACTGTTTCAGTATACTGACAGAACTTTCCTGTTACATAGGTCAGGAAACCTTTATTGTTTAAGCTAAGTTCAATTTTGGTTTTCTCTTATTGCAACCAAAAACACTCTAATCAATGTCCTCAGTGTCACTGTGTGTTCTCTATCATGCCCATCTAATCTGTCCCCAAAGAAGCAAAACGAACTTCTAAACTGTCCATTCCTTCCCCTGGAGCTCCCTTTCTGCTAATATCATCTTTTTCTTTTGTTTTTTAATCTGAACCACAGAGTAGTTTTTTTGTTCTCTATGCCTCCTATCAAAGCTGTCTGCATTACTACTGACTGTATTTCTAAAACACAGGTATAATAAGTCCTTTGCTTTTTTCTCTTTTTCTTCTTTGGAACATAAGCTCCAATGACTCTCATTTACCTACTGGTCAAAGTCCAACCACGGTAGCACAGTTTTAAAATGCCTTCCCAAAGTTGGTCTCAACTTCACTGTACTCAAGGAGTTATCAATCTAAAAGGGAAGATAAGTCTTAATGCAAACAAGTACAAATAAAACAGTATGTGCTAGGTAATAAGTGGTATAACGTTTTCAGAGATGAGAAAGATCTCCCTGGGGTAATCAAGGATGGCTTGCTGCAAGGGTAGCATTTCAGCTCATCCTTGAAAAATAGGCCAAATTTTGAAAGACAGATATGAGTGAAAACAACCAAAATGCTCATCATTTTGGAACTGGGTGATTGTTAGAGCAACCCATGAGCATCAACTACCATAAACTAGATTAGCTATTATTAATTGAAAAAGGCCCAAGACAGCTAGGACTCCAGACCCACATTTGGATAGAACTAGGTCCTGACAAATACAGAAGCATCATACATGTTAATGGAGTATATGCTGAGGCTTATGCAAATTTGCTCCTTGAAATTCAGAATAACAAAACTACATATAAGCAATCATTTTGGGCCTCAACATCATCCAATTTCTTCTATCTTAATTTAGCCAAACATTTAATTCATATTATATGCCAATAACCATACCAAGCCAGTGATAATCAAAATGTAAAAAAACAAATCCCTCTTCCTGAGGAGCTTACAAGCTAACAAGAGAAAGACAGATGATAGGAAGACAGTTAATATACAGTGTGATTTGGACTCTAAGAGAAGCATATATTGATTGTTTTAAGAGCACAGGGGAGAAACAACTAACTCTAAAGCAATGGAAAAGCAACAAGATATGAAGGCTACCTCCGGGCAATTCCAAAACGAGAGACTAGCATATCAAAAGCAACTGATGAGAAACCACGGCAGTTTTTAGAGGTGGTATCTGTTCAGTAACACTAAAACATATAAAGGGTATGAAGGAAAATTCCAGGGTATTGGTAATGTTCTGTTTCTTGATTTGGAAGCTGGATACATGATGCCATTTTTAAACATTCATAAACTATACACTTCACTACAATTTTCTCTATATGTACTTCAAAACAGTTTAAAAAAACAATACTACCAGTTAAATTTTAGTAACAAAGAATGTCAATAGAACTTCTTTTACTTAAGCCCTCCTGGAACAAACAGGTTAACCTAATGGGTGATGCTGTGCTTATACGCAGAACTACAGAGAAAAAAGCTGAGATACTCATTCTTTCCTGTCTCACTTTTTCCCCCTATTTTGTCATCCCACGGTCTTCTTCATACATGTAATACATCATCCCTTGCAAGAAAGTAGAAAACAGGTAATAAAAGGGTTTCGCTTGCTCTCCCTCCTTAATTTAGAAACCTTTACTAAGATATTATATATGGCTACTCCACTCCCTTATTCCCACCATCCCTCAAAATTAAAGAGACTGTATAACAGCAATCACCTCTTTGGAGCATTTGATTTTCTCAAAAACTGCTTGTAGCTAGCCACCTCTTTAAATTTTTATAAAGGTCACTCACCACATATTTGCATAATAATATGTACTTTAACAAAAACTAGTTTCTGATGGCAACCATACATTTGTAGTTTGGGGGGACAGGGCTGAAAAGGAGTAGGTTGCTTTGGGTCAGTGATCTCTAATCTTTGTGATTAGTAAATGAATGTTAGTACATGTTTATATGTGAAGTCTATACATAAATCAAGTACTGGTAACGTACTTTTCCTTCCTTAAACAAGACAGAGATGTTCCTGAAAAAGCAATGAACTTTTCAGAGTTGAGAAACATACCTCAAAGAGAAAAAAACAAAGGATCAGGTGTCATGGTAGGCAGAGTTCATAGGGATCATCACACAAAATAAAAGAAATAAAAATGACATTTCCCACACATTCAATTAGTAATCATAATTTCTATACAATTAATTTCCATTGACCATTCCTTACTAACTAGGTACTTTTCAGGATTTACCCCAAAGAACTTGGACATACATTTGGTTTCATGGCAGATAATATGCATATTACAGTCATTTCATTGGGTCTAGTCCTCAACCAAATGTTCAAGGTCTTCCTGACTGTCTGATGTGGCATTGCTGACATTGTTCTTCTCAGTCCCCTTTTCCCCAACAACTGCCCCTTTTCTCAACGGTTTGTGGAAG